ATGAGAGTGTGCATGAGAAAATGTCAGTGTGAGTAAGTGTGTGTGTGTGTGTGAGGAAATGTGTGTCTGTCTGAATGACAGCATGTGTCTGGGAGATCGAGTGTGTGAGCAAGTCTGTTTGAGTGAATGTGTGTGTGTGTCTTTGTGTATGTTGGTTCATGTGTGTTTGTTTGTGGAAAGAAGTGTGTATGTTTGTAGGAGGGAGTGAGAGATAATGCGAGTGAGTGTGTGTGAATCATGAGACTGAGTGATCCAGACAACACCCATCCTTCCCTTCTCTTCCTCTCCCCAAACACCTCTCTGCAAGACAAGCTGGGAGAGGAGGTAGCCCAATTCACCTGCAACCCACTTTAGTATGGACTTTGCTGAGGCCAGTTCAAATTGTACACCACCAGAAGTGATTGCAAGGTCAGTATTAGTTAAGCCCAATTCCTCAGCTTGATCCCTGTCCTTACCCCCTTCCCTAGAGATTGGGACTTTTGGTCTGGTCTGACTGTCTCCAGCTCTGCTTCATAGCCATGGTGGCAAAAATAGTTTTATTGGTAACCCTGCTGCTTGGCATGTTTTGATGGTCATTGTTTTATTTATACACTTATTGAAATTTTCAATCTACTGTTTTGGAATACTTTTTTGAAATTTGTTTCCTATTGTGCCAAACCTCATCTTTCTGAATTTGATCTCTGGCCCTTTGAATGAGTGAAAAATTGAAATGTGGCTGCTGTACAGAAAGTTTTGTCAAGCCTGGCATGGAGAAAGTGGGGTTATTCTCCCCCTCTCTATCACTGGACTGGCTGACAGGTAGAGCACGTGAAATTTAAGCATCACTGTCAGGAGAGGTTGTTATAGGTTATGACACTGCCAGAAAGCCTCTTCTGGATATGAATGAGTTAGTTCCTGAAGCATACAGAAAAAAAGTTTCAAAATTTGAGGAAGAGAGCCTGGGCAAACCTACACTTTTGAAATGGTAAAGAAAAGTAATTTTGACATAGCCATATTTTCTGTCAAACTCTTAAAAGAACAAGGGCTCACTCTCAACATCTCTGTGTGCATCCTACTGTATGGTCCTCTGTTGGTTTAATAATTAATTGTATGCATGCATGAAAGAGATTAACCAGGCACCAACTTCTCTGACCCAGAGGAGGTCATGCACCCCTTTTAGTATCATACAAGGTGATACAGGCTTTAAGTATAAATACCATGTACAATGCTCTCACAGAGATCATTCACTATGAAGAATGTAAAAACTCATCCCCTTTTGTAATAAAAATCCATGTTGAAGACCAGAGAGTTGTAGCTGCTAGAGGGGCAACAGAAGTGACAAACAATTATGAGCTGATCCCTAAAATTAAACCTTTCATTGTCACCCTCATGAACTCAAGAAGGATAGAGTGAAAGGAAGGCAGGGTACAGATAGAACAGCTGGGAATTCCCCAAGATCCCCTTCACAAATTAGAATACAAAGTGTTGTGGATGCAGGTGAAAATTGAAGGGCAAAGTGTGCAATTTGCAATTTAGAAAATCAAGTGGGATTGTGTGGTACAGCTATACAGTAGAATGCTATTGTGGACATTGTGGCTGTTATGTCATTGAGCCAAGGCAGTATCTGAAGTGTTTAAGGGAAAACTACCTGTTGACAGCCCTCGGAGTCGTCTGGCTGCAGACCTGTAAGTCAGCCAAAACATCCAGAGCTGGCAAACGGAACACATCCGTCTCCCTTCTCTCTGCGTAGGTGAAAACACAAAAAAAGGCAGGAAACATAAAGAAAGAATTAAAATACAAGACCTAGGTCCACCTGATCAATGATTGAATCAAAGAACAACCATCACTCTACAGAAAACACTGTGCCTTCTTTGGTAAAATCAAAATTACCAAGAGAAATAACATAACTCATCCATGTGATCTGGACTTCTGATCTTCAGCATTTTGTGTGCCCTGCCTGTATTTTTCAACCCATAATTTCTGTAACAATCTGTCTGTCTGATTCATGAAAGAGTATGTGTGTATTTCGGTTTTGTAGGGGTACGTCTGAAGTTGCATAGTAATAGATTGGTAATCCTTTTCCTCTGCCATTTGTTAAAGAATAAGTGTGTTTCCAATAAATAGTTATTTTCCTTTTAATGAGTAGGCCTGATGTGAATTGCTTTTGTCTTGAATGGCAGGTCACTTAGGCAAATTGATCACATTAACTGTGATCACACATTTGTCATGGCTTGCAGAATAGTGGTGTTCAATTACCGGTCCATTCAACCCAATTACATTGCCCTAAAAGTTTCATTTTCATTTTCCCTACTATTAATATTAGAGTAACTGATCCGTAATTTCCTGTTTTCTCCTTTTTTTTAAAAATAGTGGAGTTACATTTGCCATCCTCCAATTTGCTGGTCATGTCCCAAAATGTACTGTACTTTGAAAAATGACAATCTTTCAAATGCATTTGCTATTTCTATGGCCATTTCCTTTAATATCTTAGGATGTTGATTATCAAGCCCTGGGCAGTTGTCCGCTTCTAGTCCCATTAATTTCTCTAATACTGACTTTTTTGTAACTGCTTCTAATTTCCATCAGTTTGCCTTCCTCACCACATATTTTTATCCCTAGCATTCATAGAATTATAGAATCACAGAATTTTATATAACAGAAAGAGGCCATTCGACCCATCATGTCTGTACCGGCTCCCAAAAGAGCTAGCCAGCTAGTTCCATTCTCCAGCCCTATTTCCCTAGCCCTCTAAATGATCACTTTCAAATATATATCCAGCTCTCTTTTGAAACTCCTATGAAATTTACCTCCACCACTCACATTCCAAATCCTAACAACTCTCTGAGTAAAGACGTTTCTCCTCATCCCACTCCTACTTGTCTTGCTGACAATCTCAAAATTGTGATCCCTTTGTTACTGGCATGCCAACCAGTGGAAACAAAATATCCTTCTTTACCCTGTCAAAATTGTTCATAATTTTGAACACCTCAACAAGGTCACCTCTTAATCTTCTCTGCTCCAAGGAGAATAAGCCCGATTTTTCTAAAAGTTTTCTTGTATCTAATATCTCTCATTCCTGGGTATCATTCTCATAAATTTCCTGGGAAATTATTTGTGTCATCTTTTGTGAATACAGAACTGGAGTTGCTATTCAGTTGTTCTACCATTTCCTTGTTCATGATTATCAATTGCCCCATTTTGGATACTAAGGATTCACATTTTTCTTCTCAAAACTTTATTTTACATGGTTACAGTTCACTTTTATGTTCTTGAAAGTTTACTGTCAGACTGTGGTGCATTTCAGTGCTGCTGCTGTTAGCAGTTTACATGACCCATGTAAATTGTACAATATCCTGCTTTACTGACCTTTGAAGAAAGGATCATCTAGCTTCCCATCTTCTATCTTCCTGGTAGATTTGTGTACAATACTGCGTTTAACTGGAAGAGCAAATAAATGCTACAGCCTTCAGATAACCATTGCTGCTTGTGTCCTTCTTTAATTAATGATACAAAAAAGCAGTAGCATTTCCGGATAATTGTATTCCTACTTTTGTCTTTTTAGGAAGAGATGACTTTCACTGTCTGATTGAATCAGAATTTTTGTCCCAAGGGAATAAAAAAGTGATCTAATACATGATGACACTCGTTCATTAATCAAATAGTAGAGACTTAATGTAATCTTTCTGGGCTAGGTTTGAACTTCTACCCCAAAGGAGATAGAGCAGTCTTTGAACAGACTGTGACACCCAGTCCTTCAGCAGAAAATAGAAAGTTTCCTTTTATTTGTCTGGGTTAGATTTAACCCATACCTACGTTTGAATATTCTGTTGCACCCAATCATTCTTAAAAGTGCCCAGAAATGTGTTCAATTTATTAGGGCTGAATTTGAACACATTGTCAAGGGTGGAGAATAAAGATTACAAAAACAAGATGAACCAGTTAAAATCACAGAGCGAATTTCATCCTATCTGGGCTGGGCTGAAAACAAACTGATAACCTACAGATTAAAAGCTAATAATGTTCTGATTTCATGGGCTATCATCTCATATGCAGTACACATCTGAATTTCCAAAGTGCCCTGCTGATGGGCAAGGCTCCCTGACAGAAGCAATCAGTTAATGACAGTGCATCACCTTGTTTTTAAATTCGTCTTTTTCCTTTCAACACGAAAGAGGATTTTCATACCTTTATTCAGTCCATCTTTCTTTCAACAGTGGCATATTTTCAGCCTGGCTTTATTGAAAGCTTATATCTTAAAATGGCTGAATATGTACAATTTTTGTTTGAGAAATCATTGTAAAAAATCTAGCTGAGGGAGATTTGTTTCAAACGGTAGATTTTAATATCTTTTTCCACAAGCACAGTCCTTAACACAATTTATGAACAAAATGGTGATCCTATGCGGCCAAATCCTAAGTGTACCATTGTACCTGGGCTGACGCTGTCTTACCTCTCTTCAGCATTGTAGTCAATTCTGAGAATTGCTCCCTGTGACCAAGAAGTTGTTTTATGATTGATAGTTACAACATAAAATTAAGATGACTGTACCATATATAGCACACCTAATCAGCTCCAGAATAATTTGTTTATTTCCAGCTGGCACGCCATGGTAAGTATTATCCGGTATCGGAAACAAACATATTAGACTTGGATTCTAACAGAATGGCTACAAAGGAAATACAACTGAAAATGAGGAAAAGATGTTTGAAACATACACATTTCTATTGCCTTTTTCAGCTAAGTTACTACAATTTATGTTAATGTGATTACTACAATATTAATAGTACTTAATGCTTTTTGACACTACCAAGTAAACCATGTTAAATACAAAATCCTTTGAATACAGCCATGCCACTGGCCACTCATCTTCATGCTATGTCCTTCCCAGCAAAGCTTAAGTTGACAATAACAACATAAAGTATTGAAGACACTCACCAGGACTGGCAGTGTCTGTGGAGAGACAGAAACATTTAATGTTTTGAGTCCAGTATAACTTTTCTTTGGAACTGAAGACAAAGAGAAAAGTGGTTGGTTATATGTCAGAGTAAAAGATGAGAAGGAGCAATATTAACAGCAATGGAAGGTCTGGGGGAGGTTAAAGGGTGAACGAAAACAGCATTTGCAAGTGTTATAGAACAAAAGGTAAAGAAAATGGTCATGGTTGTAAACAAGAGAGAGAGGTCCAGGGGAGGTGTTAATAGCAGGATATAGTTCTGCTGAAAGCAAACTGAAGAAAACTAAACCATGGGGACAGATGGGGACAGAGATGGGGAAAACAAAACGGAGGACAGAGTTCATGATCCGAAGTTGTTGAACTCAATGTTGAGTCCAGAAGGCTGTACGATGTCTAATTAGAAAATAAGATGCCATTCCTCCAGCTTGTGTTGGGCTTCATAGGAACGCTAAAGCATATAGGACATAAATGTGAGCTAGACTGTGTGTACTGAAATGGCAAGCAATCAGAAGGCTAGGTCATGCTTATGGACTGAGTGCACCCTGCCAATTAGATTTGGCAAGTTATCTCAGCATATTATTGCAACACCTATGGAACAATATGGGATAACTAGGATCATCACACGTCAGTAAACAGCCAAACAATGTCAGAAGCATGACAATTTACTGCATGCGGACAGAGGCACTAAAAATACTTGAATGACCTCCAGTGTGAGACAGTAAAAGACAAAATTTTTTTAAAAGATTTTATTATTTAGGGTGACAGGTCATGGAACCTACTTCAATCATTGAATGCAACTCTTTTTAAAACCTGTGAAGCAATAGTAGCAGTTCTCCATATGTTACCTGGAAAATACAACTAGGCTTTCTCACACAGTTAATAGCACCTGACCTATGAGTCAGATACTACGTACTCTGTTCTAGGCTCGAGCACATTATTGAAATGACACATCCATGTTTATTGAGGAAATAGAATAACTTAACAGAAATAAATGTAAACAAGTGGAAAAAGGATATGTTAAAGATTGACCACGTTCAACATGAAACTGTTTCAGAAGAGTTAATTAGTGTTAACATCTGAGTCAAAAGGCAGGTGTTATATCCGCAAACATATGAAACCATGTCCCGAAATTTACTGGGGCTTTCACCAGTCTCTCACTGTAAATCTGAAAAATACCATCCACAAGGTGAAGGCAGGCATGTAAAATTCCAATGCTGGAGTTTCAACTTCCTAGGCTACATTGGAACACCGTGTAGGCTGATACGTTGAATTAGATGACATTTGCTGGCCTCCACAAGACCCCCAATGGGGTCCCAACCAGTCACATGAGAAGAGGGACCGAGCAGTGTTCTTGTATAGAGGTTAACCAGAATCAGTGAGAACTTCAGAAATCACTGAGCTGTACCAGCAATTTCTACTGTCCTGTGCAGATATGCTGAATATGGTGCTTATGCCTAACTTTCTAACATTTATTAGTTTCTACCATCTCAGCCCTCTACTGATGCTTCATCAGTGCTAGAAAGCGGTGTATCTATTGGGGCTTGAGTTGTCAGTTCCTACAAAAGAGACCAAGATTATTCCTTGCTGAGCAGTTAAGCAGACTGCATGTACACCTAAAAGCCCAAATGTAAGAAATCTCAGTTAATTCACAGAAGATCTGAAGCAAAAGTGAAAAAAGATCAACATGCTGTAATGGGTCCTGCAGTTTGAGTTGTGGGGTAAACATGATTCCCCAGCTTTCCGAAGTATATAAATGCCATATTTCTATATTAGAAATAAACACAAGAAACAGCACAGACTCATATTTAAGGGATCTCAGTTTGTTACATGTGAGAATGTGAAAGAAGAAAGGTGCAGCAATCACTCAAGTTGCAAAGGACCCCAAGGTTGCCTTTAGAAAACCAGCAAGATGACTAACTGATGGACAAGAACATTGCAAGATACACATTTAGATTTGATACATGCAAACAGGTTGAAGCCCAGCAGCAAAAGACAGCCTTCTATAAGTCACTAAATACCAGAAAAGATCCATGAGCTGTTTGAAGCGTATGTAAGGAATTAGCTCCATCTTTTTAGTCACCTAATTTTTAAAAGTCAGATGATCTGGCCTAGATGAAAGCTTGTCTTCACATCTGGCATTCCAACTGCAGTTAGATCAGGTGATGAACACTGCTCAAAAAGTTGCCAGGGCAATATGAGTTCAGTCATGTCACCAGTTTGCTAAAGCTTTAACAGATAAAGACAGGGCAGTGAACACTTAAAATAATGAAGACAATCCTGAAAACTGCATAATCCTTCTCAACTGGTACGTTACACCAGTTGACAAGCTCACCGATTAAAAGATGCTATGGCAGACAAACCAAGGCATGCTATCAGCCAACTACTGCCATTGAAGATGATAAAGAACACAAAAGAGAAGTTTTAACTGAAAACAAGCCAAAGGATGTGAAAAACTTAGAAAATGTGAAATTGTCAGAACAAAAGGTCTGCACGCTAGTGAAAATGCAACAGCAAATGAATGTTGTGCTTGGACCTGAAAGCAAAGATTTGACATACCTGCAAAAACCAAAAGAGCCACTGTTGTAGAGAGACCTGGGAATCAGGCTACATACCCTGTAATCCAAGTGATGCCTTCAGTCAAGAAGCCACAAAACAGCATGGCAAGAAAATCAAAGCCGATCATCAGCAGAACAACTTATTCATTAATGGGACATGCTCCTGGCTACGCCAGCATTTATTACCCATCCTTACGTGCCCAGATAGCCATTAGGAGGCAACCACATTGCTGTGAGTCTGAATTCACATGTAGGTCAGACCGGGTAAGGATGACAGTTTCCTTCCCTAAAGGACATTAGTGAACCAGATGGAGTTTTCCAACAACCAACAACAGTTTCATGGTTATCATTAGATTGTTAATTTTTTAAAATTATATTCGAATTCCACCTTGTGCCATGCATGAACCTGAATGAAGGCTAGTCAAATAGCAATCCCGGATAGAAACAGCTCCCAATACCGAGAGGAGTACGCTCTGTATCCTAGAAACAGACAATACAAAGTCATGTGAAACCAGGTAAGTGATTTTATTTAGCAACAACTTTGTAGCTGTTTGAACTGTTTCCATTGAACTAGAGGGCTGTTCAAACTTAATCATTTGTTTTTGATGAAAAGATTTAGTTTTATTCTCAGGTTGGAGATGTATTGCTGTGGAATTGAAACCTTGCATTGACATGAATCATAAGATAAATACTAACTGTTCCCTTTGATCCCAAATTGTTTTATGATTACCAGCTGCAGTGTAGAATCAAGATGGCTGCACACAAGAGAACATATTTCATTAGCTCTAAATGCTTTGAATCGTCGAAACTGAAAGCTGTTAAGGAGCTAACTGCTTACTCCTATTCCCTGTCCTTCATTCCCAACTTTTTGTTGTCTTCTTTTTACTACATGTAAGCCCTCAAATTCTGAACAAATCTATATTATCTACCATTAAGCTTCCTGACTGTCATCACAAGATTCTCTGTTCTCCCTGTGATTACTTTAACTAAAGCCTCTCATCACTGAGATCTTCAGTTGTTCATTGCATAGTGAGTTTCACTGGCTGGGTCAGTGTTTGTTGCCCGCTGTAATTTTCCTTGAGAAGGTGGTTCTGAACTCTATTCTTGAGCTACTAGGGACCATCCGCTATAGGTATACTCACATTGCTGTTAGAAAGGAAGTCCCAGGTTTTGTGACCCAGTCACAGCAACATATTTCCAACTCAGCATATTGTGTGATTCGGAGGGGAATTTGTGGGCACAGGCGCTCCCATGTATTTTCTGCCCTTGACCTTCTAGGTGGTGAAGTTAATAGGTTTTCAATGTGCCTGTAAGGGAGCTAATCTGGCACACTGCTTTTGTGTAAGGTTGGTGGGGGGAGTGAAAGCTTAATGAACTGAATGAGGTCCCAGTCAAGTGGGCTGATTTGTCCTGGATAGCTTTGAACTTCTTGTGTGTTGTTGAAGCTGCATTCATCCATAGAATATTCCAGGACATTCCTGATTTGTGCCTTGTAGATGATGGAAAGGTTTTGTGGAGTCAGTGAGTTACTAATGACATAGTTCCTAGCCTTTGATTTGAATTTATATGGCTAGTCTAGTTAAGTTTCTGGTCAATGTTAAATGTATTGATTAAGCGATGGCAAAGCTGTTGAACATCAAGGAGGCGATGGTTAGATTCTCTCTCTTTGGAGATAGTCGTTGCACTTTTCAGTTCATGCATAAATTTTGCTTCATCTGGGCATGGACTGCTTCATTTTCGGACGAGTCTCACTGAAACCATCAGCAAACAATACCACTTCTGATCTGAGGAATGAGGGAAGGTCATTGAAGCAGCTAAAGATGGTTGGATCAAGGACATTACCCTGAGGAACTTCTGCACAAATGTCCTGGGGCTGAGATAATTGATGGCCAACAACCACAACCATCTTCCTTTATGTAGAGTATGACTCCAACCAATGAAGTGATTTTCCCTTGATTCCCATTAACTCTAGCTCTCCAGGCGCCTTGATGTATCACTCATCAATGCAGTCACTCACATTGTATCTCCTGTGTTCAGATATTCTGTCCATGTCTTGATCAAGGTGGTAATGAGGTTTGGAGATGAGTATGAACCTAACCTGAACACCTGTGAGCAGATTTAGCTGAAGATGTGTTGCTTGAAAACAATGTCAATCTTGCATCACTTTGCTGATGGTTGAGAGTAATCTAATGCAATTGTATTCGGTTGGATTAGATTTATGGTGCTTTTGTGGACACAAAATACATGGGCAGTTTTCCATGTTGTTGGGTAATTGCCAGTCTTGTACTGTACGAGAACAGCTTGGTCAGGAGCATGGCTAGTTGAGAAGTACAACAACTAAGGTGTTGCTAGGACCCATTACCCCTGTTATGTCTTGCAATAACCAATGTTACAAATTGCACTCGTTGCATGTACTGATATTACAGGACACAAGGTACTTCCTGCACATCCCCTGGGGGCAGACAGGGCTGGGGGTTAGATAGGGTAGTGGTTGGCAAAGGAAGGAGGGGTTATGGCAGTAATTTGTTGAACTGAGTAAACGTAACGAAAAAATTGCAGACTGTTAGGAAGGAAAGACTTTTTTTTAACACTGGGCTTTCATTTCAGTGCCCACTCTAAATTTACCACTGTGTGTCTTAGAATTGTACTTGGACTTCCAGCTATTTTATGCAGATAATTCTTTGCATCCATCAAATCTGATTCTTGAATTAGTCTTGAGTACAATTTGTGCACTGGCTCCCAGTTCGTATTTCCTGAAGTATTTTTGGACTGTATTGGTGATTTGTCTCAGTGGGGTGGCTGTTCAGGTGCAGTAACGTAAAGGCCTGAACATGACCGTTTGAATGGCTGCATGGCTGTGCAGCTTCGAGGAGACATTGTGTACTAAATGCAAGCTGCTTGACTGAGGATTCTGAGAACATTAGGTACGTTATAGGCAATATTCAAATAACATTCATTCCATACAGTGCCAAGCAATGACCATCTCTAACTAATCATCTCCCCCTTTCTATCAATAGCATAACTATAATCGAATCCCTACTCTCAACATACTGGGAATTATTATTGACTAGAAACTGAACCAGCCATATAAATATTGCAACTGCAAGAAGTCAGAGATTAGAAATTCTGTGGTAAGTAACCTCCTGTCTCCCCAGTGCACAACTTTACAGGCTACAGGTCAGGAGGAAGATGGAAAAATCTCAACTTGCCTGGATGGATGAGGCTCCAACAACACTCAGGAAGCATGACACCATCCAGGACAAAACAACTGACTTGATTGGCACCATCTAACACCTTTAAGTCATTCCCTGTGCCCACAGATGTATAGTGGCAGCAATGTGTACTATGCTGTACCATTTCTTTTCCATGGTCTCTGAACTTTTTAACACAGTTGATTATACCATTCTCTTCCAATTCCTCTCCTCAGTCCAACTCAATGAGACTATTCTTAATTGTTCCTCCATCTTAAACACAGGCTGTCTAGAAATAGCTCCTCCACCATTCATAGATGCTATCTGCTCACCCTTGGCAACATCATCCACAAACATAGTGTTAGCTTCCACATGTCAGCTGATAATACTCGGCTCTGCCTCTCCACTACCTGACTCTTCATCAAATGTCTTGACCATCATCCTAGGATTGTCTTACTATATCTTTCCTGTATACCCTCTCTGTGAAATTCTTTCTAAAACTGGAGAATACGTTTGAGAGTTTCTACTTCATTACTTACTCCTGACGCACACTAGGAGTGAACAACAAGAAATCCCATCCCTCAGCCCATGATTTTTTCAATCAAAATTGTTAAAATGTAACAAGCTATAATTTCAGAATTTCTTGAAATATTTTCATGGTATATGCCAGGAACAATAAAATGGAAAGTCCTAACCAATCATTTGTACTGTTTACTATTACATTGTTCTTTTGTGCTCTCATTTATAAAATTTAGCATTCCATAATCCTCCCATTTATTAAAAAAAACTATCTAGCCCCCTAACTCTCTACAGTTGTGTTTCTTCAAAAGTTTTACCATTTATTCTCTCCATTTTCTACCACTCAGCAACACAATATTTTACATTTCTCCACATTAATTTTCATCTGACATCTAGCTGCCAATCTGCTATCCCATCTGTCTTTCTTAAGTTTCACTCAATCCTTTTCACAGTTACTTTACGCTATCTACCAAGTTTGATATCTTTGCCCTTATACCTAATGACAAAAATTGAGAAATGCACTGGTCTTCATGCTAAATTCTGGGAGGTAACATTTTGTACATTTTCCAGCCCAAAAGACATTAATTGAATAGTGCTCTCCCTCTGTCCTTTAATCAATTTCCTACTCAAACTGCTACATGTTCTTTAATTAATACAGTTTAGTTTCATTACCAAATGAAAAGGTAAAGTCACCATTGTCCTACTAGATCATAGGCTGCTCTCTCATTAGAGAGAGACAACAGCTAGTGGTTTAATTTGAAAGTCACCATACCTCAAGCAAGGGGAGAGATTGAGAAGGAGAGTCCTTCATGGTAACCTCAGGGGTGCGGGAATTGAACCGATACAGTTGGCATCGCTCTGCATCACAAACCAGCTGTCCAACCAACCAAACTTTGAAAATTCCAATTCAGCATTTTCTAGATTTTCTTCATCTGTAAACTCTAAAGAAATAGAATGTGGATGTATGCTAAAAATTTGGAAGAAATGGTCAACCATCTCAAAAGTTCCAAAAGGATCAAGTTGGGTGGACTCATGGTTGCAGTGACGCGGAATGTGGTCATTCAGTGGCATGTGCCTGCTGATAAATTCACAACACGTTTTATGGTACGAATGGGCATATTATCAATTTAATGAACTGCAAACAACTTAATTCAGATAGATCTAGCAGCGTGCACTTTGGAAGGGCCAACTCAGGATACTTCAGAGAGCAGTACTAAAAGAGATTGGAAGAGTTAAAAATCTAGTTGCCATTGTATACTGATTCCTAAAGATTCATGACTGATGTAAAGGAACTGCAACTAAGGTATTGGTAGAAAACTTATGATAAATTGAGACACTTTTTTGATACTTGACTGGTTGCTTTACATCCACATTACAATGCCTAATTTTGATACCCCTAAATGGTGGATGATATACTGGCCTTGGAAAAAGTCCAGAGTCAGATAGCTAGTACAATTATACCAAGCTTAAAGAGCTTCAGCTACTTGGACTAAAGGACCTTGGCCAAACTACTTTAAAGCAACACAAACTTGAACATCATCTGACAGACAGCTATAAAATAATTAAAAAGCCAGACAGCATCCCTGTTGATAGACTGCTTTATTTTAGCAGTTTAGAGACGTCCAGGGGACACTAAGGCTGAACTAAATAAGATTGGGAATAGATTGGATGTTAGGCCACACAAGGAAGAATTTCCAAGTGTCAATCTCTGGAATTCTTTTTATTCCTTCGTGGGATGCGGGTGTCACCTGTCCCTCATTGCCCTAGAGAGGGTGATGGTGACCTGCCTTCTTGAACTGCTGCAGTTCACCTGCTGTGGATTGACTCACAATGTCCTTAGGGAGAGAATTCTAGGATTTTGACCAAGCGACAGTGAAGGAACAGTGATTATATTTCCAAGTCAGGATGGTAAGTGGGAGGGGAACTTGTAGGTGGTGGTGTTCTCATGTATCTACTGCCCTTGTTTTTCTAGGTGGAAGTAATCGTGGGTTTGGAAGATGCTGTCTGAGGATCTTTGGTAAATTTCTGAAGTATATCTTGTAAATAGTACACACCGCTGTGCTGAGCATTGGTGGTGGAGGGAGTGGATGCTTCTGGATGTAGTGCCAATCAAGCGGGCTACTTTGTCCTGGATGGTGTCAAGCTTCTTGAATGTTGTTGGGGCTGCACACATCCAGGCAAGTGGGGAGTATTCCATCATACTCCTGACTTGTATCTTGTAGATGGTGGACAGGCTTTGAGGAGTCAGAAGTGAGCTTTTCACCACTGTATACCTAGCCACTGCTCTGCTCTTGCAGCCACTGTGTTTATGTGGCAAGTTGAGTAGAGTTTATAGGCAATGCTAACCCCAAGAAGATTGATAGAGGAGGATTCAGTGGTGGTAACACCATTGAATGTCAAATGGTGGTAGGTAGATTGTCTCTGATTCGTATTCATAGTTCAAACGTTGGCAAACAACCCCTCCTCTGATATCGTAATGGAGGGAAGGTCGTTGGTGAAGCAGCTAAAGGTGGTTGGGCCTAGGACACTACCCTGAGGAACTCCTGCAGAGATGTCCTGGAGCTGAGATGACTGACATCTAACAGGTATGTGCCAAGTATGACTCGAACCAGTGGAGAGTTTGACCCGATTCCCATTGATTCCAGTTTTGCTAGGGTTCCTTGATGCCACACTCAGTAAAATGCAGCCTTGATGTCAAGAGCTGTCACTCTCACCTCACCTCTGGAAGTCATCTCTTTTGTCCATGTTTGAACCAAAGCTGTAATGAGGTCAGGAGCTGAGTTGCTCTGGAAGAACCCAAACTGAGCATCACTGAGCAGGTGCTACTTGATAGCTTCGTTGATGACACCTTCCATCACTTTACTGATGATCGAGAGTAGACTGACGAGGCCAGGGTGAATTTGTCCTGCTTTTTGTTGACAGGACATACCTGGGCAATTTTCCACATTGTGGGTAGATGCCAGTATACTGGAAGAGTTTGGCTAGGGGAGCGGCAGGTTCTACAGCACAAGTCATAACATTGTCAGAGCCCATAGTCTTTGCACTGTCCAATGCAACAAGTACTTCTTTATATAATGAGGAGTGAATCAAACTGGCTGCAGACTGGTATCAGTAATTTTTTTCTATTTATTGTGGGATGTGGGCATTGCTGGCTGGCCAGCCTTTCTTGCCCATCCCTGGTTGCCCTTGAGAAGGTGGTGATGAGCTGCCTTCTTGAACCACTGCAATCCACCTGCTGTAGGTTGACCCACAATGCGATTCGGGTGAGAATTCCACGATTTTGACCCAGCGACAGTGAAGGAACGGTGATATATTTCCAAGTCAGGATGATGAGTGGCTTGGAGGGGAACTTGGAGGTGGTGGTGTTCCCATATGTCTGATGCCCCTGTCGTTCCAGATGGAAATGGTTGTGGGTTTGGAAGGTGCTGTCTGAGGACCATTTCAGGAGGCCACGATTGATCATCCATTCGGTACTTCTAGCTGACGATAGCTGCAAGTGATTCAGCCTTATCTTTTGCACTGATGTTCTGGGCTCTTCGATCATTGAGGTTGCAGATATTTGTGGAGTCTCCTCCTCCAGTGAGTTGTTTAATTGTCCACCACCATTCATGACAGGATGTGGCAGGAGCTTAGATCTGCTGAGCTTAGATCTGATCTGCTGGTTATTAGCTCATTTAACTCCGTCCTTCACTTGCTGATTATGCTGTTTGGCATGCAATTAGTACTGTTTGGTAGCTTCACAAGATTGACATCTCATTTTTAGGTATGTCTGGTGCTGCACCTGGCATCTCCTCCTACACTCTCCATTGAACCAGAGTTGATCCCCTGGCTTGATGGTAATGGTTGAGTGAAGAACATGTCGAGCCATGAGGTTACGGATTGTGCTGGAGTACAGTTCTGCTGCTGTTGATGGCTGATAGCGCCTCATGGATGCCCAGTCTTGAGTTGCTAGATTTGAGTGAAGTCTGTCCTATTTAGCACAGTGATAGTGCAACAGAACAATGGAGGTGATTCTCAATGTGAAGGTGGCACTTCATCTCCACAAGGACTCTTAGCTGGTCATTCTTACTGATACTATCATGGACAGATGCATCTGCAACCAGTAGATTGGTAAGGATGAGGTCAAGTACGTTTTTCCCTCGTGTTGGTTCCCTCACCACCTGCCACAGACCCAGCCTACCAGCTATGTCCTTTCGGACCGAACCACCTTGATCAGTGGTACTGCTGCCGAGCCACTCTTGGTGGTGGACTTTGAAATCCCCCACCCAGAGTACATTTTGTGCCCTTGTCATCCTCAGTACTTACTCTACGTGCTGTTCAATATGGAGGAGTACCAATTCATCAGCCGTGGGAGGATGGTTTGGGGTAATCAGGTTTCCTTGCCCATGATTAACCTGATGCCATGAGACTTCATGAGGTCCAGAGTCAATGTTGAGGACTCCCAGGGCAACTCCGTCCCGACTGTATACCACTGTGCTATCACCTCTGCTGGGTCTGTCCTGCCGGTAGGACGAGACATATCCAGGGATGGTGATGTGATGTCGAGGACATTGTCCGTAAGGTATGATTTCATAACTATGACTATGTCAGTCTGTTGCTTGACTAGTCTGTGAGACAGCTCTCCCAATTTTGGCACTAGCCCCCTGATGTTAGTCAGGAGAATTTTGCAGGGTCGACAGGGCTGTTTCTGCTGTTGTCTTTTCCAGAGCCTGGATCTATGCCAGGTGGTCCGTATGGTTTCACTTCTTTGAGACTTCGTAGCGATTTGTACAACTAAGTAGCTTTCTGGGATTTTAAGAGTCAACCACATTGCTGTGGGTTTGGAGTCACATGTGGTCAGACCAGGTGAGAATGGGCCGATTTCCTTCCCAGAAGGTCATGACTGAGCCAGATGGGTGTTCCAACAACTGACAATGGTTTCATGTCATCAGTAGATTCTTAATTCCAGATGTTGTTTCTTAAATTCACATTCAACCATCTGCTATGGTGGGATTTAGACCTTGGTCCCCAGAACATTAGATGAATTTCTGAATGAATAGTGTGGCAAAAATATCAGTAGGCCATTGTCCCCCCCTCCACCCTCACTGAGGAATTACATTGCTAGATGACATGGTGGGTGTTGAATGATTTTTCCTTGGACCTGAGTGTTGCTCAGTACCCCATATTTCCCTTGAGCTAAGTGGCTCGCTAGGCCATTTCAAAGGTCAGTAAAGAATGAAACACTTTGCTGTGGGTCTGGAATCACATGTGGGCCAAATGGAGCAAGGTGAACCAGGTGGGTTTTTACAACAATGGATGATACTTATTATGGTCACCATTACTCCTTTTATTTTATAGATTTATTTCTTGAATTAAATTCCACCAGTGCCATGGTGGGATTTGAGTCCAAGTCCCAAAGCATCAGTTTGGGGCTGGGTTATTTGTCCAGTGGCATTACTGTTATAGCACCATCTCCCCATCTCTCTGCATACCATGTGTACTCCAGCTGTACTGGTTCCTGATTAGGGAAGAGGCCATATCATATGAAAGATCTTTAAAGGTTACTCTTGGTCCATTTGATGTCCAGGACAGGTTTCAATTAACTAAGGGGTCAGAGAGGACTTTCCCATTATCCTGACCCTGAGTTTTTACTTTTTGACATTCTTTGGAGATCAGATGGCTCTGGGTATGAGTTGGGTGAGATAATATTGTAATAGTGGAGACGTTAGAGAAATGAGAAAGAATGTAACCCTCATGGTCCGACATCATGGTTTGGCACAAGATTGAAGGGCCTGCTGGTTGTATCTGTCAATTTTGTTCACATATAGTTACAGTGCCAGTCAGAAATACTCTTCCAAAGCTGTCTTGAAGGAATAACTACCTGGGTTTCAGTCTCATACCCACAAAGACATTGTAGTTATCACATATGCTGTTATAGTACAAGGTTGTCATTGATCTGTCA